ACACTTCAGACAAATTGACAAACTAACGCACCCTGACAGTGGAGCTGTGCATTAAGGCAGAAAACTGCCGGCTGTTAAAACAATTTACCCCCCCTCCTCCCCCTCTCCCCCCCCACACACACCAGAATATAATGACCTGCCATGTAAGTCACACTCATTCTATCTACGCTCTGCTTCACTGAGCCTCAGATAATTATACTATGGCTCCAAAGGGCTGGTGCTCACTGACATTTTACACAATCAGTCCAAAAAGGACTCAGGATTAATTTAAGTTTGTGTCCGCAGGCCCATCAGAGCAGCATCCTGTAAAATGTCGCCGCCCACCCAAGCGTGGACATGTGCGTTCGTCTGAGTGTTCCCCGCGTCCTTGGGGGGGGCTGGTCAGTCAGCATGTACGTGTTTGTATTCACACACATACCCTCACAGCTGCCGTTCACCGTGCTGTAGCCTGTCTCGCAGACGCAGTCGGACAGGGAGCTGCTTCCGGGCTGGGAGGTGTGGTGCTCGTCCGGACAGGACAGGCAGGTGCTGGGCCCCCCAGGGACCCTCTCCGGTTTGTACGTGCCAGGTGGACAGGCTGGCCAAAAAGACAGACAAACAATTTAATCAATCACCAACCAAGGAGCAGAGCGAACCAGTCAATCAACCAGAATCAGCCAATCACTGATCAAGGAGCAGGTCGGACCGGTCAGTCAAACTGAATCGGCCAATCACTGATCGAGGAAGAGACCAAAATGTCTGTCAAACAGAATCGGCCAATCACTGATAAAGGAGCAGGCCGGACCAGTCAGTCAAACAGAATTAGCCAATCACTGATCAAGGAGCAGGCCTGAAGATCAGTAGGGAGACATTTTCTTCTATAATAAGAATCTAATGGACTGTGGACTAACGGACACGTTCAGACACAGACTTCAGCCCACAGCACTCTACTACACATGAGAATCCCTTTCTCTGAGTGTCAGGGCTGTGTGTGAGGGCTGTCTGCATTACCCTCATGTATGACAGTGTGTTCATCACCAAGGAACCTCCACATGGAACTCACTCCCACTCAGATGGGGCACGGCAGGCACTGCCTCCGGACCTAACGACACACCTCTGCGTTTTCCACCGGAACAGTGAGGCTGATGTTTACAACGAGACAACTCCCTGTGTTAGTAAATGCCTATGTAGTAAAGAACAATGTGTTTTCCCATGAAACGCGAGAACTGATTGGGTGAAAGCCGTCCCAAGATCCCAAGTCTATCTGACAGTGACGCCTTTTCCCTTTTAAAGCCCGCAAGGGTTCCAGAGTTTGATCTAGATAATTAACACTCCTGCATTTCACAGCCTGCTAAAACTGCAACATTTATGGCCTTCATAGAGATGAGCTTTCGCCCAAGATACCCCGGCCTTATTCCAAGATAAACTCGTTTCATAGCAGGTCAGTCAAAGCAGTCACCCATCCATAAAGAGGTTACATATTAAAACAGCCCTTTGGTCATATTTCAAAAGAATAACCATATTTATTTTCATTTTCCAGTGTCAATATCCAAAGTTAGCACCTTCAGCTCGGTAATGAAAGCGATCTAATGTGAAGAATTTGTCTATTTCGAAATTATTTAATAAGTGTTTTTTAAAGTAAATATGAGCAAGGGGCCAGCAGAAGCCATAACAACCTCATTTTCAAGTTTACAGCAAGCTTGCTTTACGTGAATAATATTTCACTTGTGTTATAACAGTGGAAATACTGTATAAAATGTAATTTTAATTCCAGGAAACATTTATGTTCTGGGGTTTGAGCCGGCCTTGCTGTACAGCTACTCTGTTATGGTCCTGAAGTCTTCTCACAGTTGATTAGGTTTACACTGGCTTTTGGTTAAACACGCCATCCACAGTCTAAGGGTACATGGCACGTTAAATATGGGGGTGGGTCAATTAAATTCAATTACAGCCCTGTTAGGGCAAGTCCTGCGGCTTTTTGTTTCTAGTTGGACACGTGAGTCGCTGCTGCATCTGTTTCTGGATCCGGTTCCTCAGGCATTTTCTGGTGCAATCAGCCTTCTGGAAAACTCCATCCAGGACTGTAACTGAACAGTCGTCCTGTGGCATGAGAGAGAAAGGCAGACCTCGCCTCCGGCACGCAGCACAATCTTAGTCAGCCCTGATAGTCTTCACCCATCACCATAACTCTGAACTGGAGGTGAAGTTCGAAAAGGCTTAACTGAAGTGAACCGGCATCTGTACTAACAGGGTGAATGAAGAAAATCCCTGTTATGGTGACCTAAAGGGGAAACGGTGCAGCCATACGTACAGCCGTGGCCTTAAGGTAAACTTTCCGGAACATTAGGGTAATCCCTTAAACATTTATGGTACCAGATGCCGCGTTTCCTGGATGGAGCACGCGGTACGAGATTACGGTTCATTGGATAGCCCGTCTCTGAGCTCCAAGCTGAGTCATAACTGATTCACAACCAGCTGGTCAAGAACACAGCACATTTTCTCTGCCATGAAATGAGCAAAAGGAGGGCATTTTTTCTTTTTAAAGAAGCTTTTTTGCAAGATGTTCAACTTAAAAGTAAACTCCCCCCTTCTCAAGCGTACCCCCCAAACTGGAGAAATCTGGTCTAACGACTGCAAAACAAGAGTGAATAGTGAGTGAAAAGCGGGTGAAGCAATGAGCTTCACCCGCCACCCCCCCAGAAAGGAAGGGGAGACAATTAAAGTACCCTGACGCATAAAACCCCCCACCACTGGGAGGGATTATAACACACCTCAAGTTCTTGGGGGGGGGCACAGTGTTTTTACTGGGCCTGTCTGCTGCTGTGGCGGAGTCACCGACGTCACACGTCTGCTAGTGGAGGGACCAGGGGTACAGAGTGAGAGGGGACAGGGCGGCACCCCCACTGCCACCAGAAAGTCATTTTGGCAAAAACATGGCCGTAAAGTGACCACAGGGATGCAAATAGCCACTAAGTAAGGGTTAATGCACAGCAGGCCGTGCATTATAGCACTAAGTAAGGGTTAACGCACAGCAAGTCGTGCATTATAGAACTAAGTAAGGGTTAACGCACAGCAGGCCGTGCATTATAGCACTAAGTAAGGGTTAACGCACAGCAGGCCGTGCATTATAGCACTAAGTAAGGGTTAACGCACAGCAGGCCGTGCATTATAGCACTAAGTATCTGACACACAGCAG